AAACTATTCCACACTCCTTGAGATAATCGTGGAATTCAAGACTTAGGTACTCTCCTCCTCGATCGGATCGAAGCATCTTGATTTTCCTGCCCAATTGATTCTCCACTTCATTCTTGAACTCTTTGAACTTTTCAAAGGTTTCTGACTTTTGCTTGATTAAATAGATATACCCATATCTACTATAATCATCGTAAAAGTCACATAGAAGCGGTTCCCATCCTTCGTGGTTGATCTAAAAGGTCCACATACATCGGTATGTATTAGGTCTAATAGTCCCTCACCCCTTTCACAAGTACTCGTGAAGGGTGACTTAGTCATCTTTCCAAGTAAACAAGACTCGCATGTGTCATCTTCCCTAAGGTCGAATGACTCCAACACTCCATCCTTTTGGAGTTGGGCTATGCGTTTCTTGTTGACATGTCCAAGACGACAATGCCACAAGGATGCTTTATCCATACTAGTGGAAGAATCAATATTCAAAACATCATTTCCTAAGTTATCAACAATCATAACAGTTTCATATATTCCATTACATGGTATAGCTTCAAAGTAAAAGACACCATTTAGATAAGCCAAAATAGAACCATTCTCATTATTAAAAGAAAATCTAAATCCTTGTCTATATAAACCATGAAATGAAATGATGTTTCTAGCCATTTCTGGCGAATAGCAACAATTGTTCAAATCTAAAACTAAACTATTCTTAAGCACTAAAGAATACACTCCAATCTTGGTCACAGGCGACGATCTTCTGTTCCCCATGATTAGATTGATCCTTCCTTGCTCCACATCCCTACTTCTTCTTAGTCCCTGCACATTAGAACAAATGTGATAACCACAACCGGTGTCAAGAACCCAAGAAATAGCATGATTAGAATCGTTAGATTTGATTGCATATATACCTGCGAAAGATGGCTTGATCTTTCCTTCCTTGATGGCTTGCAGGTAATCCGGGCAGCTTCTCTTCCAATGTCCTATCTTGTGGCAGTGGTGGCACTCTGCCTCCTTCGGGTTAGAGCAGGGCTTAGAGGGATCAACTTTGGTCCCACTAGAAGAGGAACCATCTCGGGCTTTCACCTTTCGATAGTTATTTGAAGAAGCTTTCCTCTTCTTTCCCTTCCCTTGACCAATAGCCAAGACAGGAGCAGCGGATGGATTGGGAGTTGGTGCAACAGACTTGTCCTTGAAATTGCTCTCAGCAACCCTCAAGAGACCTTGGAGTTTACTTAGAGTGACCTCCTCTTTGTTCATGTGGTAGGTCATCCTAAATTGATTATACATCGGAGGCAAAGAGTGAAGCACCATGTCGATCGCCAAGTCTTCGCCGAAGTCAACATTTAACTTGCGAAGGCGGTCGACATACCTTTGCATCTTTTGCAAGTGCACGGTAAGAGATTCTCCATGACCCATCTTGGCGGAAATCATGTTAGTGAAGATCTCGTAACGCTCTTGTCTCGCGTTTTGGTGGTACCTCTCCAACAAGTCTTGATGCATCTCGTATGGATACATGTCCTCGTAGGACTTTTGGAATTCGGAGTTCATGGTGGCGATCATGATGCAATGTACTTTCGTTGCATCTCGCTCATGAGTTTCAAAGGCGGTGATTTCGGCGGAGTAGCAACTTCGGGGTTGATTTTCTCGAGCTTCTCGTCGAGGACATACTCTTTATCCTCATAGCGAGCAATGGTGCGAATGTATCTTATCCATTCGCCAAAGTTCGTTCCATCGAAGGTGACCTTTTGGCAAAGGCTCATCAACGTGAAAGAACTAGCAGCAGCGTTGTTTGCGTTTGACATCTATAGAAAGGACAAAGATAGATTAGAACAAGAATCCCTAATTATCACCCAATAAGAAAAATTAGGGCTAGGATCCAACAATAACATTTACATACTAGAAAAGGGATGCCGTAATCCAACATGCAAATAAATTGAAGGTAAGTGAATGACGATTCACTAATTCTCCATCACAAAACTTAAACTTTTAGTCCTAAGTGTTTTGAGAATTCCTAGGTTCGGATGAGATTCATTGAACTATTCAATGGCATGTTTAAATCTCGATATGCCCCTCTTGTTTGTGACTGGGATGCCGAGGATCACAAAGCGGGTGTGAATTACCATGCAAATTCACATGGTGCCTTCATTGTAACGATCACCTATTCGATGTGCCGGTAAACCACACACGCTCCATCGAACTATGATAAACAATGAATCACCCTTTGCCACCTTCGCTTAGAACCAATTAGTGTGCCGGTAAACCACACACGCTCCACTAACATCTTAGCAAGGTGCAAAGTGTAATTTCATGGGATTGCATCAATTCACTTTTCCTAAAGTAACTAAGATTGGGAAATTTTAAAAAAAGTTTAGTTACTTCGTATTTCTTATTATACTTTTAATGAGAGGATGAGGTTGCCCTATCCTACCCGTTCGGCTAACGACCCTCCACCAATCAAGCAAGCGGTGGGTGTGAGTGTACACCCATTAAGCGCCATTTTATAGGCCGCAACCTTATACCCACCTTATAGATCGGCTTCGTGAATGAGGCCTACTAGCGGTAAGACTAGCATTTAGTTATACATATATATATATATATATATATATATATATATATATATATATATTATCTAGTAATATCATATAAGTATAGGGTTGCATTTTAAACTTTTCAAAATCTAGGGTTTGAAATTTAAGTTGTCTAAATTAAAACTTTTAATCACAAATATAAATTTCAAAACTTTAGGGTAGGTTTTAAACATTTAAAACATGAAGGATCAAATAACAAATAATTCCAATTAACAATTAATATTCTAATTATCTTTATTTGATTTATCTTGATTTCTTTGAAGATAATTACCAAAATAATTAATTATTATCATATAAGGAAATTAAATATTTTATTAGATGATAAATATCTTTAATTAGATCAAGATAATAGTCATATTTATCAAAAAATCGGATTTACATTGATCTAATATGATTAAGGTAAGTTTCCATAAGATAATTATGAAAAAATCCCGAATCTGGCCATTCCTGACGCCTGGACTCGCCGAGTGCACAAGGGGACTCGCCGAGTCAGGCCTACTCGACGAGTCCACCTTGGAACTCGACGAGTCAGTGACTCAAAACCCAAAAAATCGAATTTTGCAGGTTTGTTTCAGTTAATCAAGCAACAATTTAAAGAAAACCAAACCAGTCTCTGATACCACTGTTGGGTTTTAGCCATAAGAACTTTCCTATGTGCGCATGCAAAACCCTATTGCTTGGATCTAGGCTTTCTAATAAACATGCTTTTGAATCCAAGACTTCTAATGGCTAATTAGGTTAAACAACAGTATTAAAACAGATCTAGAATCATACCTTTGAATCCCTTGTTGATCTTGTTTGTCTTGGAGCTCCCTAGAGTCACAATTGTCACTCCTATAATGGCTTACAAACACCAATAGCAAGCAAGATGATCGAGGAGAGGGGAGGAATTCGACCAGAGGTTCCTTGCTTAAGGTTGTGTGTCGAATTCCCACATCCATAGGGTCTATTTATACTATCAGACTCCTTAAGGGTTTCACCCTAAACCCTAATTGGATAATCTTCTCTTAAGGCTATCCAAATCCATTCCATAGATATCCCTATGGACGATTTTGAGCTATCCTAAAGCTCTTTGAATCCGTCCAAGGTGTATCCTAATGGATTTATAGTCTAAAGTCTAACTATCAAACAATTGACAGTTTATACCCTCTTATTTAATTAATCTCTTTAAGTCACCAAATTAATACTAATTAATTTATGACTTATATTAATCAAATAGCTAAATATTATCCCTTATAATATTTACTCTATCTTAACAAATCATCCTTCAAGTTGCTATGGTGAAGGCAACCCAAAAGGACCATGCACCACCGAATATAGTTATAGCCTTAGACATTATTCCAACAATTTGGTCATGCATGGGTGTTGGTTGTGGTTTTGGTCCTCAATTGGTCATGTCCATAGTGTTGGTTGTGGGTTTGGACCTCATTTGGTCATGTCAATAGTGTTGGTTGTGGGTTGGACCTCATTTGGTCATTTATGGTTGTTGGTTGTGGGTTTGGACATCATTTGGTCATGCATGGGTGTTAGTTGCGGGTTTGGACCATATTTGGTCATGTCTATAGTGTTGGTTGTGGGTCTGGACCTCATTTGGTCATGTCCAGAGTGTTGGTTGTAGGTTTGGACCAAATTACACCTACTAGAGCATATTATTATTTTTGTTATATAAAAATATGTTTCCCTTGTATATATAATTTTTTAATTTTATATATTTTTTATTTCAAATAGTCATAAATGTTTTTCCAAAAAATAAATTGTTAACTTAGAAGGGCCAAATATGTAATATTTACATTCTTACCAAATAAATCATACTAATTTTTGAAAATGCACGACATGTTTCCAAACCATGATTTTTTTCTTCTAATCGTGTGGGATTACTATGAGATCAAAATTTGAAACACATTTGAATCTGTCAAACGAATTTAAACAAAAACTAATGAGAGGTAAATATTTTTTGTATGGTTTTTGGGCTCCAAATCAAAGCGGGAAATCTTCATCTATCACACCGCCAAAACTATGAAGATCAATCCATCGGATGAAGGAAATCCTGGTAATTTTTGGTAACTTCCATCAATTTAGGACCTATTATATCATTTTAATATTTAATAGACTGTCATTTATTCCACCATTGTTTTGTTTAGTGTTTGGTTATATCCCAGAAGGATCATACTTCAGTTCATCATTCATCAAGCTTTCTAGTGTAAGTATATTGTTTGTGAATGTTATTGATTGTATTGATCACGGATCATGCATAACACAAAGAATTTTGATTGTTCATATTGGTGTGCTTCTTGCACACAAATTGTTCGATGAAATGTTTATGTGAGCAATTGTCTGTAATATTATTTGTTCATACAGTATCATTAAACTTATAAACAATCAAACTTATTTTCAATCTGTTTTGTCAACAGAAGAATCATGGAGGTTGACATGGAACAACATGAGGATATCCCTGACTATAATACAAAATATGAGCTAGATGATGGAAACCAAGAATATGATTCGCCTACAGAGAATGGTGAAAATAAAGACATTCACTACAATAGCCAATCAGATTCGGAAGAAGAAATCCACAAAATAGTTCCTTCACAATCAGATAGGAAGAGTGGCATGACTCGATTGCCAAAACTGAAGACTGAATATGTCAATTCTAGTGGAAAAAAAACGTGTCAGGTTTTATGAATTTGGTAAGTTTACAGGGAAGAATAATGCAGTCTTTGTTAGCTATGTGGGTGATCTTGTCCGCGAGAAGGTGGAATTAAGTGCTCTTTGCTGGAAAAAAGTTAAACCGAAAATGAAGGACAAACTATGGTAAGAGATAACAGTAAATATTTTCTTCAATTTTTTAATCTGTATAACATAATATATGTAAAAATCAAGTTTTAAATACTAACATTCTCATTGTTTTTTAGTGCTATTTTGAGGTTCATGAAAGTGGAAAACAATTTGTGATGAATAGACTTGGTATTCTTCTACGGAATTTCAGAAGCAAGTTGTATGCAGATTACATCAAACCACATCTAGGCGATACCGATATGCTTGAAAAAAATCCTAGCTCGTTATCGTGCACTAATCACTGAACAAGAAGACTGGAACAAATTTGTGACTTATACACAATCTCAAGAGTTTAATGTTAAAATATTTTTTCAAAACTTATTCATTTATTTATCATAATTAGGGTTCTAAAAGTTCGTGACAAATATGTTACTTTTAATTCACAGAATGTGTCACAATGGACTATCAAAGTAAGAAAGATGTCAAAGTATGATCATCGGATGGGACGAGGGGGGTATACAACTCTTAGGAGGAAGTTGGTAAGCTACATTAACTTCATATCATTTTATTTAACATGCTTTTGTTTCATATTCTTTATAATTTAATTTTCTTTATCAAGATTGAAGAGAATGTGATTTCGAAGGACGAAATTCCCCCAAGGTCAGTTATGTGGTGTAAAGGGCGTGAAAGTAAAAGGAGAATTTTAGGATGAAGATGTTAAAATCATGGCAGATAAACTAGTAACTTCAACACACTTTCCTTTTTCTTTTACTTTAAATATTTTAATCATTGATATTAACACAATAATTATTAATTTTTTTGTTTGGTAGATGGAACATGAGAAGCAGATAAAAGAAGGACAAGTAAATGTTGAACGAGGAACGGATGCCATGACCTTAGTTTTTGGAAAGGAAAAGGGCGGATTTTTAAAGGGTGTTGGCACGGGAGTCACTTACAACAAGTATTTCAATGTTCCTTGCAGCAAAGGGTTATCTAAGGAAGAAATTTAAAGATCTTAAAGTTGCACTGCATCTATCACACCCCAAAACCAAGAACGGCGGAAACGTTCAGGGGTGGAGGACGTCATGTACAGTATCACAACAATGCAAAGTAGTAAACAAGCAACAATATCAGCCATTGCATTAAAAGTAAATATTTAATACATGTGTGTTCTTTAAAAGTAATAAGACACCAAAATATGAAATCAAAATAAAGGACGAGTCTTGTATGTGCTCCGTCTTCTCAAAACCTGGCCATCGTACATGTCTACGGGTGACCTGAGAATACAAGTTGTTTTGAAAGCGAGTATCAACATAAAGCTGTTCAATTCATAAGTATTTAGGTGTCATTGTCTTGTTTTGGAAAGCTGTTATGAATGTCATGTAAATCTTTGAATGAAACAATTAATATAAGTTTGAGAACCCTAGAAAATCCCATATTTCCTATCAATATAAGAGAAATCTTCTACCAAGACCCGGATGTTTTGAAAGTAGTCTTCTACCAAGACCTGTATGTTTTGTTGTAACAAACATGGTTTTCCCTTTTATGACCATTATTAACAATATATAGTCTACCTCCTCGTTTATGTGATTGTAGCACAAAATAAAAGTAATAGGAAAACTATAACCATAAAAGTATTATCCTTTTTGCATTAGGATAATGCGATATCGCGACTGCCGAAATGTATAACCTAGAACATCCGTAGATTGTTCATTTTCCTCTGTAGCTAGCAGCAGGTTTAAGGAATTTTTAGTCCTGTAAAGGTAATCCTAATATAAGTAATAACCATAGGCATCAGTAGATGTTCATTACCTCTGTTTCTAATAGGTGGGTTCCGGAATGGTTAGTCCCGTCAAGTTATCCTTTTGAACTAGGATAGGCAGAAAAATTTACACGTAATGTTTTAGTAACTCATCCTACAGAATCTAGGTACAAGTATTCATGAAAGTGTATACAAATAAATGTATATATGTAAATGTATTCATGTAAGCGTATCAATGTAGACGTATTCATGTAGCATGTAATGTATAGTAGATACTCATGAATGAACTGACTCTGGTTTAATTCCTTGTAATAGGAATAATGTTTTGTATCTCCTAACTATCCCTATAATAGTTAATTGGAAGGTAATTGATTGTCCAAGCAGGTTTATACACCCTTGCTACACAAGAGTGTGGGAAATTGAATGAAGGATGAAAGCTATCTTATCAATACATATATAAGAACATAAGTGTATAGATATAGTTTTGTTCACGAAGATAAAAATGGTTTTGTAAGACATTTAAGAGTTTTGAACAATAATTAACAATGACTTGATGTTATTTTAATAAACATTTCAAAAGTAATACATTTGATAACAAAGTATTTTTTTTATAGAAAACCATTTCATACATCACATTTTGAAGCATGTGAAATCAGTTGGATGAAAACACAGTTATAAATCACATGTGATTGATTCTATATCATGTTGTTTTCTACTTGTATCCCCCCTCCCCCATTAAAGTATTTATAAACATTTGAAAACATTTAAAAGGTTAATTTAGGGGTATGAACTCACCTGATGTAAGTGGTACGAATGAACTGAAGATGTAGGATTGCTAGGTGTCAAGTGAAGTCTTGAACACACTCTATGATCCTAGTTAACATATAATATCACATATATGTATACAATTAGCCTTTAAACAACTAATAAACAAAGTTAATACATCCTAGGACATGCTAAACACCTTATACAAGTGTTATAAATCACAAGGGTTGCAACTAAGTGTTGTAGGGAAAGGCTAGTGTGTTTGGGGTTCAAGAAACACTCCCTTAAGGAGTTTATGGTTTTATGGTCACTAGCAAAAGGGTTTACGGTCGTAATCCAACACCTTTGTGACCATTTGATGCTTGAAGCTTTCTAAGCCAATCCAAACATTCCTATTTCATGTTTAAGCCTTAGGAAGTGTTGTGTGGCATCAAAACACTCCTAAATGGAGTTTACGGTCTATGGACCATTTCTCCATGAGTTTACTACCTTAAGCCCTAGAGTTTACTACCTTAAACTCATAATTCTATGGTATTTGGGGTTTTCAAGTCCTTAGCTCAATCATGGCAATTGTCTAGGTTAGGTTTAGACATAAGGAATAACCATGGGACTTTTATAGGACTTTTACACAACTTTTGGGGTGTTTACGGTTTTGGGAGATCCCCAAACCGTAAACACATAAAAATGTAAGGTTTTGGTGGTTTTTGTGTGATAAACTCATGAAGGATGAATCTATACAAGTCGCTAAGGCATTGTCAAGCATCTAGGCACCCTAAGGCACCACTTTGCACCTAATCTTGGTGTTTACGGTTTTGGGACCTCCCAAAACCGTGAACACCTTTATCTTGGTGTTCTTGGGACTTTTATTTGATGTTAACATGTAATAAAAGCTTGATAAGACTCAAGGATGGAAGTACTTACTATAAGGAAGCTTAAATTGAGCTAAAAGTCCAAGAACACTTAGTGTGTGTTCTTGGTGTTCTTGGTGTTTTTGGAAATCTAGTCAAAACCCAAAAATGAATTGATGAATAGATGCACAAACACTAGATTAAGTGTTATATCAACTTGGAATGATAGAACACTTACAAGTTTGAAGATCTTGATTTAATTCTAGGATGATACTTGAGAGGGTTTTTGAGTTTACTCTTTTGGTGATTGGGGAGTAAACATAAAATGACTAGCTTTTGGGGAGTAAACTCATGCTTATGCATGAGTTCATGGTTTTTGGATGATTTTCTGACCCAAACATAAAAGTTTGGCCGTGAACTTCTAAGATGCGAGGTGTTTGCGGTTTAGAAATATCAAGACCCGAGACGACACTTCCTTTCACCCGTTCGTTTAAAGAATAATATTAAAATAACCAAACGAACTTTAAATTTTCTAAAAATAAGTAATAAAGTAATTGACTTATAATAGGAAGTGATAGACTTTTAAGTTTTGACCGAATGAAAATTCCGGGTTGTCACATCATCCCCCCGTTAAAGCGAATTTCGTCCAAAAATTAAAGTCTAAACAAATAAAGTAGTTACAAACAACTAGGCAAAAAGATGAGGATATTTCAGTTTCATCTGATCCTCATGCTTCGAAGTGAATTCCGGTCCTCGTTTGGCGTTCCAGCGAACCTTTACAATCGGGATGCGGCTTTGCTTCGTCTGCTTGACCTCACAGTCCATGATCTCTACTGGTTCTTCCACGAAGTTGAGGCTCTCGTTGATCTCGATCTCGTCGAGTGGGATTACAAGAGTCTCGTTGGACAGACACTTTTTCAAGTTAGAGATGTGGAATGTAGAATGTAAGTTACAAAGTTCATCTAGTAGGTTGAGTTTGTATGGTACAGGGCCGATTCTTGCGAGAATCTCGAAAGGCCCAATGTACCTTAGATTTAGCTTTCCACGCTTTCTGCAGCATATCAAGCCCTTCCAGGGTGAGACCTTCAGTAGGACTCAGTCGCCCACCTGGAATTCCAACGGTTTCCTTCGCTTGTCAGCATAGCTTTTCTGTAAGTCTCTAGATTCTTTCAATCGTTCACGAATTTTAACGATCTTCTCTTTCGTTTCCCGAATGATCTCTGGATCCGTGAGAGTACTTTCGGGAACTCGTCCCTTAGCTAACTGGGTATCCCCCACCTCAACCCAGCATAGAGGGGATCTGCACTTTTGGCCATAGAGGGCCTCGAATGGAGCTGCCTTTATGCTCGTGTCGTAACTGTTGTTGTAGGAAAATTCGACAAGGGGTAAAGGAGTATCCCATGCTTTCCCGGAGTCTATCACACAGGCTCGCAACATATCTTCCAAGGTTTGGATAGTTCTCTCACTTTGCCCGTCGGTCTGTGGATGGTAGGTTGTACTCATGTCTAGCCTAGTTCCTAGGGAACTTTGTAATGACTGCCAGAACCTCGAAGTGAATCTACTATCTCTATCCGAGATAATAGATAAGGGAACACCGTGCAGTCTTACAATCTCCCTAATGTAAGTTCTTGTAAGTTTCTCCATCTTGTTTGTTTCTTTGATTGGCAAGAAGTGTCCAGACTTGGTCAGTCTATCGATGATGACCCATATGGAATCAAGTCCACCCGTTGTCTTGGGCAACTTGGTTATGAAGTCCATAGTGATCCGCTCCCACTTCCATTCTGGTATCTCTGGTTGCTGTAGAAGATCGGAGGGTTTCTGGTATTCGATCTTTACCTTCGCGCAAGTAAGGTATTTACTTACAAAGGTAGCAATTTCTGCTTTCATGTTAGGCCACCAGTATAACTTTTTGCGATCCAGATACATCTTATCTGAACTTGGGTGGACAGAATAACGAGTGTTGTGTGCCTCGGTCATGACCAAGTCTCTAAAGCCACCGTGTTTCGGTGTCTAGATCCGATCCATGAGGTATAAGGCTCCGCCACCCTTGACTTCCAAGTTCTTATCCATCCCTCTCAGGGATTCACCTGCCACATTTTCAGGTTTCAAAGCATCAAGCTGAGCCTCTTTAATTTGCGTGGACAAGTGTTAATGGATAGTTAGAGTCAAAGATTTGACTCTACGACCACCATCGTTGTCTCATTGAGTAGCTCGACCCACCGTAATCACTGAGTAGCTCGACCCACCGTCGTTGTCTCATATTGAGCTCCTTCTGGTCGAGAATGTGTTGAAGACTTTTGAGGTCTGTAAATATCGTGCTTTTTGTACCATACAGGTAGTGTCTCCAGATCTTCAAAGCAAACACTACTGCTCCTAGCTCAAGATCATGGATGGTGTAGTTAACCTCATGTGTCTTCAGCTTTCTTGAGGCATAGGAAATGAGTTTACCTCGCTGCATCAGAACACATCTGAGTCCTTGATTTGATGCATCGCAATAGATAACAAAGTCTTCTATCCCTTCAGGGAGGGATAGTATTGGTGCGGTGCACAAGGCTCGCTTGAGTGTTTGGAATGCTTTCTCCTGTTTCTCTTCCCAGTCAAAGGCTATGCCTTTCTGGGTCAGTGTTGTAAGAGG